ACGTGACGCCGTAGTTGTGATTGTGTTCTGTCGGACCATCTGCTCGACAGGGGTGAATGGGAAACTTTGTACTAGATGGGTTGCGTCCGTGGAGTTTGTCTGGCGGTGTCTCTATTTAGTGGCGAGTCACATCCGCCATGTTGCAGACTTGTTAAGCGGACATTTGTGGTTTTTGGACGGAAAATACTTGCCAGAGAAAACCCACCACGTCCTGAGACACTGCCGCCGAACCATTCGCTCTAACAGGATTAACCGAACCACCCAGGTGGCACCACGGGGAGGTAGCTCGTCTGGCGAACCAAAGCACTCTACGGCGGTTTCATCTTTGCTAGAATTGTCAACAGTGAGCATACTATCTGACCATTGTGGTGATCGAACCCGCAACTCGACTGTTGCCAGCCTGTGGCTGAGACCACTGAGCTACGGCAATCCATGGTACTAGTGTTCCTCGATATTAAAGGTGCCTTCTATTCGGTTGATGGAGGTGCTCTTTGAAACCATCTACTGAGGAAACGTGTGCTCAAGAACTATGTAAATATCATAAGTGCGCTGTACGAGCATAGTTTGGGCACGGTGAGGGCTTACGGCTAACTATCGTCGACCTTCACCACATCCACCGGTGTGAGACAAGGACGCCCGCTATCCCCTTTCCCTTTTTACTTCTCCATCGACGTGATCATAGAAACTGCCTTCACTTGACATGATCTACAGGACGTTGAGTTGCTCCCAAGTGAATGATTAGTTTATTTGGAATTCTCCGATGACATCATCCTTATCTGTGACAGCTTTCAAATTTGCCAAGGGATACTGGACAAATAAGCACTGGTTGTCAGTCGTTCTGGGCTATGCATTGCACGCTTGAAATGCAATGCCCTTCTTCAAGATTGTCAGGAACCCAGCTCTGCGCTTACTCATTGTGGGGATCTGCCAGAACTCACCGAGAACTCCAAGTACCTAGGCAATTATATCAGCACCAATGAAACGGAAGATTAGATCACAAACCGCCTAGCAAAAGCTAGAGGCGCTTTTGCCAATCTCCGCCATCTTTGACGCCGGCATGATGCCACTGTCGCACGGAAGGGCAGATTTTAAAATACAGGCGTTCGTTCAACCCGACGGTATGATTGTGAAACCTAGTCCATCAAACTGACAGACATAAAGAGGCTGCTCACTTTCGATCATCGCTGCCTTCGCAATTTGGCTTATGTTTAGTAGGAGCACCGCGTGAGCAATGAGCGTGTTCGACGTTGTGTATTTGGTGCAGGAAGAACGGGTGAACCACTCAGCACCATTATATCACGCACCAGACTCCGATGGCTAAGCAACATGTCGTGCTTGCCTCCCCACCGACTCCGGCGACGCGCTTTGTTTGCGCGCCCGCGGTCTGGATGGAAGAGGAGGAGGGAGGCCAAGCGATGACTTGCTCAAGAGGAATGAAAGTACTCACTTCGAAGTTGGCGTCGGCTGGTGTATCGTGACTGCCTGGCTGGGGTCCGAAGACAATGGACACGTGTGCTTGGACACACTAGTTGACATGAAAAGGAGCCGATCTCAATGGCGTTTGTGTAGTAAGTTTCTTTCTACCTCCATATCCCGCTTACTTTTCCCTTTCAAGCCCGATGTCTTTCTTGACGCATACTAAATTACTAAGTAGTCTGACACCTGATTTTTAGCATACTATAATTTTCAGCATCGCTTTTTTCGTTAGTCTTATCGTTATGTATTGCGGCACACTAGTTGCAGTGTGATTCTCACTTTCATCTTACGTGTAATGATGATGATGATGATGATGATGATGACCAGGAACAGGCAGGGCACGAATACCGAGCCGTGAGGTACGCTGCACCGTACCTCGAGCGGGCGAATAAGATGCTGCCAACCCTCACCTTTAGTTGAGGTTGCACAAGGAAGTTACTTATTCAACTCAAAACGGGATCGCCGCTTCTATGATGAACAATGACTTACCAAGGGTTTAAAAAGTACGTGCTTGACAAGCCAACTGGGATGATTGGGAATACACTATAAAAGCAAATGGTAGGTGCATCATCCACCGAGCGTCTATTGAAGTAAATGCGCTTATAACTAAGGTTAGTGTTAAATAAAAATGAAATGCAAGCACACAAAACAACATGCATTGTAGTGGTCATTTATGTAAAGCGTGAGAAAAATAAAATATGGTCGCTCAATCATGCGGTGCCTCCATGGGTCTATATTACACGCCAAATCGTTATAAGGGCATGATTAACGCAATCCACAATGGCGAAGTATAGGTAATGAAGTGCTGAGAGCTAAGAACATTGTCCAATCGTTTTTGTGAATATCCAAGTTAGGGGAGGATACAAGTGAGTTTGGGAGAGACTTCCAGGGTTGGCGAGCACTAAGTGAAAACCAATTCAGTCGACAGTCCATACGTCTATATTGTTCCCTCAATTTTAAACAGCCAACCCTGAGCTGCGTGTTGTGGTTAAGTTTCAGAAAATGGCGGCATACGTGGTTTAGCTCGTTCATTATTTAGTACAGTAATATGGAATCGCCGTGCAGCCTTCAGTAACGTCCGTTGAGAACTTCCAGTAACTTCAGCCTTCTGTGGTAAGAGTGAGAGCATGGGCGCTTTACATTCTTGGTTGCCCTGTGTTGTGGTGGCTTCAAGCGCGTACGTATCGCGCTTCAAACCTGTTTGTTACGCTTGAATGCGCATTGGACGTGACGGCACACGAGGAATCATACATTAAGAGGGAGATTGACACGTCGAATCTCCTGAATGTCCTCCGAAGCAGGCCGACGTGTTGGTTGCCACTTTTCGCAGCTGCCTCAGACTTTTAAAATACTTGTGGTCACTCTGTACAAGCGCACCAAGGTCACCTTCCTGGGAGCTGGTCAGCAATCTGTGTGCCTCAAACCAATACATACAGTCATGGCTACGGAGCAATTGCACAACGCTTCATTTGTCGATGTTGAATGGCAGGACACTCTGAACTGACCAGTTCGAAATCATGCCAAGACCGTGCTGGAGCCTTCTATGATCGTGCGGTCCTATGATCGCCGGCTATATCTTGTCATCCTCTGCGCAGAATAGGAAATCAATACCAATCGATCTGCCTAGATCATTTATTAAAACTACGAATAGATGAGGCCCTAGCACTCAGCATTGTGGTACACCGCACTCTACGTCAACTGCTTCGGACAGACTTTGCCGGACTCTTAGCTCCAACTGACGATCGTGTAGACAAATTTTATCTACCGCAAGGTTGGGTCACCAGGGCTGTGGCACCGACGATTGTGAAGGAGAATCCGGTGGTTTAAATGATCAGACGATTTTTGAACGTTCAGGTTGATGACATCGACTTCTGGTCGGCTATCAACTAGCTCAGTTCAGGTACTGAGTGCAATTAATAGGTTAGTAGAACATGAGTACTTTTGAAGGAAGTCATGTTGGTCCGGGACTGTCATACTAGAGTCTTTAGATACTGCATAAGTACACATGCCACGATTGATTCCGTAAATGTAAACAGCACAGGATGCAGCGTTATCGGACTGTAATTGCTAAGGTCAGCTCTACTAGTTCCCTTATGAATTGGAGTTATGGAATAATGCAGGTTATGGAATGACTTTGAGAAATTTAGGTAGGTGACATCCACTCCTACTTCAGCGTCCACAGACACAGTCCAGCATGACTGAGCTATCGGTAGGCTAGTAAAGCTTAACCGACTTTGGCAAATCCGTGTGGTTCCGGAGTGAAAAACTGTTGCTCTCAAGCTGTCCAATCACTGCCTCAGCGATAACGGACTCCGTGACCATGGAGATCACGGGAAGCAGTGTTATGGGCCGATACCTTACTGGTTCTGCACGGTTCCTAGTCTTGTAAATTTGAGCCATGATCCCGTGCTTCCACATTGTGAGAACATCCACCTGGTTAAGATATGGTTGCAGGGATATTCCTCTCGGTTCTTCTAAGGTGATGACAGCTACCAGCAATGTTTTAGGACCAGGCGCAGTGCAATC